CTGCGAACACCTGAGGAGAGTTCTCTCCATTAAAAGTTAAACGTTGCGGAGTAAATTCAAGCAGTGACGCTTTGTTCTCTTCTCTCTTCTTATAAAAAAAAGAGGAATAGGCAGTGCCAGCCCATAGGGTTGAGGGGCCCGAGACAAGATTTAAAAATTTGGCTCATTGGTGTAAAAACAGTGAGAAGAAAGCTAAAAAAATACAATTTTATTAACTTTAACATATTTAACCTATAATAAATATGTAAAAATATTTATTCCGAAACTTGTATACAGTTGAAGTCAGAATTATTAGCCCCTCTTTGAATAAGTTTTTTGTTTTTGTTTTTTTATATTTCCCAAATGGTGTCTATTAGAGCAAGGAAATCATATCCGAATTTCATAGTATGTCTAATAATATTTTTTCTCCTGGAGAAAGTCTAATTTGATTTATTTCGGCTAGAATAAAAGCATTTTTTAACTTTTTAAAAGCCATTTTAAGGTCAAAATTATTAGCCCCTTTAAGATGTATATTTTTTCGATAGTCTACACCAGGGGTGTCAAACTCAATTCCTGGAGTGCCGAAGCCTTGCACAGTTTAGTTCCAACCCTGCTCCAACACACTTACCTGTAGGTTTCAAACAAGCCTGAAGGACTCAATTAGTTTGATCAGGTGTGTTTAATTAGTGTTGGAACTAAACTGAGCAGAGCTGCGGCCCTTTTGGAACTGAGTTTGACACCTGTGGTCTACACAGAACAAACCATCATTATACAATAACTTGCCTAATTACCCTAACCTGTCTAGTTAACCTAATTAAATGTAATTTGTCGTGTTTAATGGGGTTTGTGCATTGCGCAATATGCATTGTACATGATTTATATGTACACGCTCGTCCTCGCATTGGCAGTATATACAAGAGCAGCATTCGTGGGGCCCTCCAAGATACGATTGACCCTAGGCGCTCCACCATATTTCCTGTTGGATGCGCCAGCACTAGAAATAGGCTACATATTTTGCACATCCAATACTGCTTAGAGTGAAAAAAAAGAGTTTTCCTAATCATTTAATTTTGATACATTTCTTGTGGTACTTCACATTTAATCATACATAAACAAATGCTGAACAGACACTGGCAGTATGTCAAAGGTATGGACACACACAGCAAAAATGTGCCAGTCACTGAAGCTAGCATTGGGCTTCTTAACTGTCCACCCCATTCTGATTTTATGTTATGCATTTTGTTTGTCAAGTGATTTGTGCTGAATGCTCAAGCAATGGCATTCTGTATTTTGCCTGTTGCTTGTATGGTGGCTCTGAACTGTCAAGATATATTTTCAAAATGTTTTTTTGGATGCGAAAAATGGAACAAATCACCCCAATGTAATATTTTTTATGACGGACAAAAGTTTCGGAAGCAGTGTGTCGATACGGTTGACACAAAGTGAGGTTGAATTAATTTTTTAACGTGCGAAAATTATGGATGAAAATTTCGTATTCAGTGTGCAATAACTTTTATGGCATAGATCTGCACTTCGAGTTTTTACCATAAATAGTAGACCATCAGGGTAAATTTGTACTTATTTCAACATATAATAGTTTTGGGACATGCTAATTCTATTTTCTAATACTATTTAGGATGTATAGTTTGGAAATTGAGAGCAGCAATTGTTTTCTATGAGGGTACAGCAGCAGCATATAGAGACCAATGTAAAGACAGTGAAGCACAGGATGTCTGGTCCGCGAGTGTCATTGAATTGCGTATTATGACTTCCCAAGAACTATGCTTTAGTGAAGAAATCTTAAATTATTATTATTGCTTTCCTGAAAAAAAGCATTTAGGGGAGTAATTTTTAGTTTTCTACAGATTGTCCACATGCTTTTTTAGAGCATCTCAGACCTTCATTATAAGTGTGTAGACAGCTTAATGTGGAGCGGCCTGCTGCCAGGTGTTTAGTACGTGTGGGAGAGAAGGACTGTCAGAGCTTGTCTCAGAGCCGTTGTTTGGATGATAACCAGCCATTTTGACGCGATGCGAAGTGGCACAGAAGAGGACGAGGTTTAGATAAACATAGATGACAGCAAGAAAGGACACTGAGATCAGAGGAAGCATTTCTGTTGAACAGGAACGCAGATGAAACAATGTGGTTTGTGTAATTACAGACATGGTGTCGTCTCACTCCGGGCTGTAATAATCTGTTTGGGGTTTGCTTGAAATGCTTGCCCGAAAACAAACTGTTTGTAGTTAATAACTACATAGTGCACACAGACTTCTTATTACAAATTCTCCTCATTTAAGCTCTAATTTCTTTAAAATTCAGTGATCTTCACTGCCTGGTTGATATACAATATAAAGTGGCTCTCAGACCGGACAAGAAGCACTGCATTCAATTCTGTTTCCCTCCGCCATATCTTTAAAATATGACAATTTATTTTACCCCAGTATTTTTAATGGAGTTTTTGTCTTAATAGCACTAGCGTTTACACCAGGTGTGGGCAAACTCGGTCCTGGAGGGACAGTGTCCTGCACATTTTTGCTCCAACACTAATCAAACACACCTGAACGTTCTAATCAGTGTCTTCAAGATCACTAGAAATCAATAAGCAGGTGTGTTTGATTAGAGTTGGAGCTAAACTGTGCAGGACATCGGCCCTCCTGGACCGAGTTTGCCCACCCCTGGTTTACACGGTAGGTTATCTCATTTTAGCTTGAACAACTAAATGAATGCTCAAGTTGCTAAAAGGGACCTTATGTAATTGTTAATACTCAATATTAACCTTTTTACCTGAAGTTTATCGTTGGCTGAAAAACACTAGCTATGCCAATACCCATTCCTCATAAATGATGTTCAGAACTTTTAACAATTAGCAGAGCTTTTTTTACAATTGAAGTCATGGAAACAGAAGTTAAGATTGTACTTTTTTTCCCGATAGTATGACGTACATCCCCTTTTAAGTAGTCCTGAAATGAGAGAGAAATGTCAGCTGGTGCATGATTTCGTTTTATGGGAACCAATTGGATTGTTGAACGACACCAGTCTTGCTAGCAAAATAACATTGCTAACAAAATGAGGGGAGATTGGAGGTGAATTCAGAAGCAGAAACAAGACTGTAAAAGAGTTCACATTGGTTAAATGTGAAAAAGCTGCCTTGAAGACATTGAGTTTCACAATATATTTAACTAAAACTCAACATCTTAAGTTGAAACAGAATCTCTCTAAGTCGAGTTGACTCACATTTTCAAGGCAGCTGGTGAACTTGAAGTTTGTAAGTTTAACCAATGTGAAACGTTTTACAGTGTACTGATATGCCTGACCTAAAGAAATTCTGTGCGACCAGGAAGTGAAGAAATATTGTTTTAAGGGGGAGGGAAGGGTATGGTATTTCATTAAAGTTTATGAGGGCAAATGAGTTTGTAGTGCACAGATATATCGTTTATAACAAGACCTAGTATGTGCACATAAATGTCTATTAAATGTCATTTGTCTGACACTAGAATTTTAAATACTTGGTTTTAAGTATGAATAGGGTTAATTGCGTTTTTAATGTGATTTATGTAATATATGGAATGTATTTTTGTTACTTTAGTTTTTGTGACATTGTGATGTAAATGGTGATGTTATTATGTGGTAAAGCCTAAGACATTTCCTCTTGTGGATAATAAAGAAAGTCAAGTCAATACATATAAAAATAAGAAGAGTAAATTTTGATTTCATGCGGTCTTTAAACTGCTGTCAAAGTGATTTTCAAAAAAAAGTACACATATTCAAATATTCAAAAACAAACAACACAACCACACACACCAAATGACTAAATCTTTAAATTGTACTAAAACATGTAAAAATGACTTATTCAAACTATTTATTATGATTTAATAATTGTATATTAGCGATAATAAAATAGCACTTCTATATTATATTATATTATATATGAGCAATATTACACGAGTAGCAGTGCAATGTGGCTGTATATCGGCACACATCGCACTGCAATTCAGCCACATCCTACTGCGTTTATACAACAGTTCGACGGCATAATTGTGTATAAAACAAAAAATCAAACACAGAGTCAAAAAAAACCTTTAGTAAGAGAAACTACTTTCTTCCGAAGTTCATACACAGATCGTCAGAGCAGAAACCGTTGCCAGTTCACAAACGTCACTTTAGAAGTAGTATTTGAATGATTCTCTTGCATAATGTCTAAAATGATGACAAAACAGGTGATTTTGATTACATTTTATGATTATAAGGCTGAACAGCGTGAAATGCCTTCAGTCTACAGAGATTTTCCAGTATTTCTCTGTTGCAATCGGTTGATCACAAAAAATAACCATGAAAAAAGAAATGCCAGAGCAAAGCAAACACTACCAGATACTATGGTATAAATACAGCACTACAACATACAATAAAGTAAGATCGACTTAGAACGTCGCTTACCTGTTCCATTATGTTATAGTTTGAAATGCTGTTTTTTTTCCTCCCCTAAGGACTTATTATACTGTCTCTTTCACCATCTTGTGGCTGAACGTCAACTGTCTTTGCTCTGCTCAGTATAACAGGCTGATGGCCGTCAATGCGCTGAATCTTCGAAACTGAATGTTTTAAATAGGCACCATCCTTATAAATAAACTGCACAGTTGCAATCTAAACAACAGTTCTCGCCTAAAAAAATCTCAAAAGTACATTATGTTGTCCAACAGCAGCAATATTTGTCAAACTGTAGTCCTCTGCTTGCTACGCGTTTGGGAGGAGTAATACACAAGGGTGAAGAGGCTGTATGAGTGCTTATATTATTTTAATAGCTTACGGCCATCAGCCAATCAGATTCAATATATTATATTATATTATATTATATTATATTATTTTATATTATATTTACAAATGGTTCTCAAAATCCCCAATAAGTAGTTTTGCCAGATTCGTCACTTTTGAAAATACTTCTATCCCTAAATTATGGTGATGATGGTTTACATAAATACACAGGTTGGTTATGCTGTTGTTGATGTTGTGGTTGTTATTTACAGGTGGACGCATCAACAGTAGTTATGTGTGGATGTATAACTCACAGCTCAATGTCTGGATCAGAGTGGCCTCTCTGAATAAAGGACGCTGGAGACATAAAATGACCGTCCTGCTCGGGAAGGTGAGTGTGTGTGCGTGCGTGTGTGTGTGTGTGTTTTCCAGTCCCTGAGTCCCATTTCCTAAATCAAAAGCACACTTCCTTTTGTGCAGTGTGACTGTATGGAGAGAATAATGCAGGATTTATTACAGCACCTGTGTGTTAGACTGGTAAAACATCTAATGTAATTAAACAATATTTGTTAGTGTTGCTAGGAAATCATACATGACTGCTTTTCAATGTCCATTTAAAGAAGAAAAATTAGTTTTGTAATGCATCCATTTTAAGCATCCCCACCCCTTGTTTGTTTCTTTTGTATTTTCATTATCATAATTAGCCCCGTACTGATTTATTCTCCAGAATTACAAGATGATAAGACTTTCCATTGTAATCAGTTTAGAAAATGGGTGTAGATGCCATGTGGGATATCCAGGCTTTAATAGTAGCCTGTGCCTGTTTGGGACTGATAATATGATTAGATGTTTACAGCTGTAATCAGATGATGCTGATCTTAGAAATTGTGTTTTGTTTGTCTTGTGGTGAATCTTTAAGCATTTGAATATCCTTGCAAAAAATAGAAATCACTGGCAGTTTTTTTTATGTATTGCTTACAGATATTGTGTTGGTAGTGCATTAATTATGTTTTCTTTTGTTTGTGAATGTTTGAGACGCATGCTTTTCATTACACATGCAGGGGGTTTGACATTCTGCCTGTGTGCGTGTGATATATTATTCTGTGTTCATACACACCCTCTTGAGACTTCTTTTTTTTCTTAGAATTCTTTTCTTTTCCTGTGTTTGTGTGTGTGTCCACCCTCCCAGTGCCCATCCTCTCTAGTTGTTTACAGCCACGGTTTGTTTTTGGATGTCTGATGTGCCATTCTTTAGAAGGAAGAAAATTAGTTGCTATTTTAAGGTAGTAATCCATCCAAAATAGTCTGTCAGAGAGCTGAACAGATCTTTTAATCCCAGCTGCTTTGTGCACATCCTGTCTTGTAGATATGATTATACGCGATAATACAGAGACATGTTAATACGTGGCTCTCAATCAAATCGGTGGGCGGGGAAACCGCACTCCTACATCACGTTGCGGTCGGCTTAAAAATGGAAGGGATTTGGATCCTATGTTAATGTCAGGAAATTGAAAAAAAGACACTTATTGTCTTTATATCACACACAGTTCTGTCTAAACGGCTTACAAAAGATGATTTTCATCATAGGTGCCCTTCAAATACAGGATACATCATTTTAGATATTTGAGTGTGAGGTGATGTTCTTGCAACATCTACAAAATGTTTCTGTTTTTCTAATTAGTCTATCGTATACACAGCTTTATGACAGAATCTTTTTCTTTACTTTTAGCTATCTATTTAAATCTTTATTTCTTGCATCTTCTTCTAGATTTGTGCCCTTCACGTTTTTTAATGCATTTTTGTTTCGTGTTATTTTGTTTCATTTGCATGCTCTACTTGTATTTTAATTTCATGTGAATCTTTTTGGCTTCATGTGAATCTTTTATGTCATCTTCTAGGCTCTTGTCTGCAGGTTGTGACCCTGAAAAATTCCCTTTCTCTCTCATTTCAGTAGAAACTCTGTAGTGTTTTGTTGAAATATGATCACCTACACACATCCAGGATAACATCACATTTGAAGAATGTGTCTGCTATCTAACATTTGCTTTTTCATTCCATCTACCCGTGTCTTCATCCGTCATTCTTATCTTGTTTGTGCTGTTTTGTGTAAAATAGCTTGCATGCTAAGAGAGCAGGGTACAAATTCTGGCGAAATTTCAACACGACATTTTGATATGGAAACAATTGGTTACCTTTCAAAAAATAAATCTAATGTTATGAACTTCGATGAAATAAATATCTTACCGTCATTGAGGAAAGGGTGTGAGTGTTTAAATTTGTCAGTGTGAGTGAGGGAACTTTACCCTTCTAGGTCAGAGGTCATTACATTAGTCTGTATGTGTGTTGGATTTGCGCATGATCTTAGGCCTCAGGCAACTGCGATCTGTTTCTGCTCAGTAGAACTGGTTTCCTGTTGAACAGCTTTAATGTGGGTCAGTGTCAGTATGTTGTTATCGTGGCTCTTCCACACTTCCTCTGCACTGTCAGTTTGAGGATAAGGCTGCATGTGGAGAGGATAGGAAGAGCGTTTGTTCTTGAACAACTTTTATATATTGTCTATAAACGCAAGTCATGAACCAGAGAAGTGGGATTAATTTGTCATGATTTATTGTTTTTGTAATGAAGTCATTTTTATTTTCATTCGACAACTAATGAGTAATATTAGCTCTGTTTTGCTTTAGTTATTACCATTATAAAGTGAAAATGAAATCAATTCTGCGTTTAAAACCTTCACTTTTCCAAACCGTGGCATACCTTGAAAACGGTTATCATCCCATGCCCACTCTGTTGTATATTAGGAAAAGTGAATGTGTTTTTTGTTTTGTTTTTTTGCCCTTGTGTATATAGGAAACTTCTGAAACTATTTTTTTAATTAGCATAATAGGGGCATCTTGAAATAATGAGCAGTCATCCTCTGTATCTGTGTATGTTTTCATGCAGGTGTATGCAGTTGGAGGTTATGACGGGCAGTGTTATCTCAACAACGTGGAGGTGTACGACTCCTTCTCCAATCGCTGGACTGAAGTGGCCCCTTTGAAAGAAGCTGTCTGCTCGCCGGCGGTCACCAGCTGTGCAGGGAAACTCTTTGTCATTGGAGGAGAACCTGATGAAAACAGCTGCTCTAATAAGGTGATTTGAGAAACTGGACTAAACAAACACACAATAGAGTTAAATTGAGCTAATCTACAAGGCTGGAAAACTTTGATCTTCATCTTGTGTAGAAGTATGTTGGCAGATTTCCATTGAGTGCTTTTGACTATGTGTATTTGGCAAGTCTTGGTTTTTGTGTATGAAAAACAGACATGAAGTCTTTATCAGAAACATACTTTGGTGCATTTTTTTGTCTCTTTTGTGTGGCCATATGTATCCACATCTGTTTCTTCCTCATACTTGTCCATCTTTTACATGCATTACTAAACAGAAGCCAACATGTTCAACATGACAAAGGATCAAAAGTTTTACCCAACCTGTCACACGGTCTCCAATCTAAACTGCAGTGATCCTCTTGAAAGGATAGTTTACCCAGTAAGAAACATTTCCTCACTCTCAGGTGGTTTCAAACCTTTTCTTTCATTTGTAGAACAGGAAAAAAGATATTCTGAAGAATGTTAGAAACCTGTAATCACTGACTTCCACAATACTGTGCAAGTCAATAATTGCAGGCTTCCAACATGTTTCAAAATATGTTCTTTTGCGATCAAAAGATACAAAATTATTGTTTGGAACAAGTAAAGGATGTTGGAAACAGAATGTTGAAAACCTGTAACCATTGACTCCCATAGTATTTTTTTTCTTACTATGGAAGTCAGTGGTTACAGTTTTCCAACATTCTTTAGAATATCTTCTTTTGTGTTCAACAGATGAAAGAAAGTTTTAAGTAGACTGTACTGATTTGCCAGCCTGACTAGCTAAATTTACCTAAAACCTCTATAAAACCAGCCAAAAGTCCAACCTAAAGGCATGCACACACATCACCATTCAGCAAAATTCACTATTTTGAATTCAAATAGGTCATTATTGTGATTTCTGTGAGGAACCTTTCCAAAACCGGTACACAAAACCGGAAGCTAAACACACAAAAGTGTAAGACAAAACATTTTAGTCTCAAATAGCTTACAACTGCAGGAACAATGGGTGTATGTTTGTGCCATCGAATTTCAAATGGCAAAATGCAAAATAAACTCACCAGCATGACTGACTGATGCGAGCCACAATTCATAATGAGGATTAATATATGTATATATATATATGTATATATATATATATATATTAGGGATGTAACGGTATTGTAAATACCGTCATACCGCAATATTAAATTTTTTCGATATTACCGAAGTCGCATGACTCGGTAAAACTATAGGTCTTCAGAGAAAATTTGCTCAGGCGAATGAAGCGAACGGGAGGTAGCTGAAACTTCATTTCCCATCAGCCCCGGCGTGGCCATAATCCTTTGCGGTCTGTTGTCGCTACAGATCCAGTAATGCGGAAATGGAGTGTGCTGCTAGTAGCGGAGATGAAAAAAAGATGGAAATGATCGAACCTAAAGCAGTGTTGTCGCCGCGCGCGTGCTGAATAGCGGTGCTGTCGCGCGCGTTCTGATCAGCTGTTGTGGCGCGCGTATTGTAAAGCGCCGAGGCGGGGTTGAGCGCGCATACTCAAGAGAGGTGTTGTCGGGCGCCTACTGAAGGGCTGGACTGGACGGAGGTTGTGTCGCGTCGCGGGGGCACTTTTGATCGTTTTGGAAGGGCATTTTCTATCCAAGACTAAAAAGGGCATGTGCACTGCACAGGTTGAGCCCTATGTGTGCACGTGCCTGCAAGTTGGGGAATACAACTAATAACAGTCATGGGGACTGCAGAAACACAGCACACTGTTCAGATTGATGCAGACATTGACTTGTACCGCAAAGAGACCTCTATCTCACTCATGGTTTGTCTTCTCAAGTGGGGGAAAGACAATGCACAACGTTACCCCACTGCTGTCAACATGGGCCAAGTCATATCTCTCTTGTCCCAGAAACCTCAGTCCCAAATGAGAGGGTTTTTTTCTGTTGCAGGGGACATTGTAAATGCCCAGAGATACCAGCTTTTAGCAGATTATAATTATATGATAATTTTTCTTTAAACCCATCTCTATCTAAGTGAGTGATTAAATGTTAAATGTGATGAGTTTTCAACAATACTAAATTGAAACTTTATTTTTTTACATGGTTTAATAATTTTTTTGTTATTAAAATTGAAGTTCCTGTTTCAAAGCTAACAGATAGATGGCTAATTTGTATGTCATTGACACTTTTGGCACTTTTTTGGAGTATTTTCAAAAGGTTTTTTTTTCCTGTAAATGATTCAATAAATACCGTACCGTGACATCCATACCGAGGTATTACCGTACCGTGAAATTCTGATACCGTTACATCCCTAATATATATATATATATATATATATGTATATATATATATATATATATATATATATATATATATATATATATATATATATATATATATATGTATGTGTGTGTGTGTGTGTGTGTATATATATATATATATATATATATATGTATGTGTGTGTATATATATATATGTATGTGTGTGTATATATATATATATATATATATATGTATGTGTGTGTGTAGGTATATATGTATTTGCCATCCTAAACTGATGTGAATTGCGAGACTGAAAGGGCCGCACCAGATGCGCAGTGCCCTGCATTTTAGAATTCTAAACATAGGTTTCTATCAGGCTACGCACACTGGAGTCGCAAGTTGGCGGCTGTCTGCAGCGCCCAGCTACGACTCGGGACACTGTCCATATTTCTGCTGCGCCACACAGTGCAATCTGAATAGATTCATATTAAACAACATGAGAATGTGTGCGAATTGACTGTGCTAAGCTTAAGATCAGTACATATGACGATTGGCTGAATAGAATTTACAAGAGAACAGCATTCATTCATTCATTTTCTTTTCGGCTTAGTCTCTTTATTAATCAGGGGTCGCCACAGCGGAATGAACCACCAACTTATCCAGCATATGTTTTACACAGCGGATGCCCTTCCAGCCACAACCCAGCACTGGGAAACATCCATACACTCCTTCATTCACACTCATACACTACAGCCAATTTAGTTTACCCAGTTCACCTATAGCGCATGTCTTTAAACTGTGGGGGAAACCGGAGCACCCAGAGGAACCCACGTGAGCACAGGGAGAACATGCAAACTCCACACAGAAACACCAACTGACCAAGCCGGGGCTTAAAACAGCGAGGCTGAGGCGATTGTGCTACCCCTAGAACAGCATTTATTTGAAACCAAAACAAACAAAAAAATGTTAGTAGTGACCTCAAACTTTCAAAGAGACTGAAAAGTCCTGCTTAACGTGCCTCATGTATCTCCTGAAATCTTTTTGGAACAGAAGGCCTGGTAACTGGCAGATGTGGAGTGATTGTGTGTGTTTTACCAGGTGGTCTATAAACCAATGGACAGGTGGGTCAGCGTGGTGAGCTTATTGTCCTCATATGCCGTCGCCATCTCAGATAACATCTCACATGGCTTTCTCTCATTGATTCTCCACTGCTCAGATTACTGCATTCTTTACTTGCCATCTGGAGCACAAACTGAAAAAGGGAGAGAAGCATGAAAGGAGCTGATCAAGTTTTGCACTCAAGCTCTTTTGCACAATGTTGACTGTTCTTCTGTGGAAGTCCTGTGTTTTTTTTATATCTGGATGTCATCGGCTAGCACAGAGAGAGGTTGTTTGCATTGAAGAGTGCATGTATTGGATTTAGTTTGCTCTCTTTTCTTGTCCTCAGGGCCTGCTCTCTGCTTTCAGCTTTTGATATTAGACAGTACACTGATGACTGATGGCTTTACAAAGTGATTTTGAATATGTATTTGATTACCTTAATATGATTTGCCGGCCAAGTTGACTTGAGGAAATGTACAAGCTATGAATGCTTTTCTTTTATTAGCCATGAAACTATTATTTCTAAACTGTTATTAATACTATTATTATTGTTATTATTATTGATTTATATTTGTTTATGAAATTATTATTTATTATATCAGTAATAGCAATAATGAAATATAATTTAATAAATTTAGCTGTAATTTTTTTTAAATAGTTTATAGTTTGCTGTATTATATTATATGCTGAAAATCCTGTGTAGCTATTTTGTAATGACATGCGCTATAGGTGATTTGGGTAAGCTAAATTGTTTGTAGTGCATATGTGTGATGAGAATGTATGGGTGTTTCCCAGTGATGGGTTGCAGCTGGAACGGTATCCACTGCATTAAACATATGCTGGATACGTTGGCGGTTCATTCCGCTGTGGTGACCCCTGATTAATAAAGGGACTAAGCTGAAACGAAATTATTGAAAGAATGAATAATAAATAAAATAGTTAGGGTTTAAAATATTATTTAAAACTGCAAATTTTTGGGGAAATTTCAGCCTCATTATAAAGCTCAAACTCTCTTTCAGGTGCAGTGTTATGACCCAGAGAGCGACAGCTGGCAGCTAAAGGCTTGTCTTCCCTTCACCAAACCCAATATTTCAGCCGTTTCTCTCAATCACCTCATCTACGTGTGTGGCGGTCTCACCAAATCCATCTACTGCTATGACCCTTCACAGGACCACTGGATGCACGTGGGCCACACATTCAGCAGACAGGTAACTGAAGCACAGATGCTGATAACACAAACCCTGAGTGAAGACTTCACAAGTTCTTGTCTGTTAGTTATTCAATACAGTACCTTGGGAGCCTAAGACTTTTGCGCAAATCTATATCTAAAAAATATATATACATATGTATAAGTTCTGAACAAAATTAATTTTGTAATCAAAAGACTAGCATCAAAAGTCTGTTTAACGTGACGTCTTAGCACCAAGCAACAAGTTAAACTTTTTTGTTGAGTTTTTTTTTAATTATGTGCTTTAATATCAAGCGTATTTTAGCCTTTTTACGAGTTATTCCTCAGATTTAGCATGTTATGGCTGTATTTTTCTGTCCAGGTGACTCTTATACTGCCTTTAATGTTACAGACTGTATATAATATTTAGGTCTGGACTCTGTGTTTTTGTTTCATCGGCTGTTTTTTCTCTCGCTGTGTTTGGGATCATCGTCATGCTGAAAAATAAAACTATTAGGTGCTTTTTAGTAGGAGTTACATGACAAATTACATGACAAATTAAAACCGGTCTACATTTCAGCATCAATGCAGGCAATAACAGATGTGGCAGAAGTGCAGATCAAACCAAGACAGAAACTTCAGTATTTTTTATTCATTCTTCCATCTTTCTTTAACACTTTCTTCCATATGTCTTAATTAGACCCATATAGTCCTACTAGAACCTGTATTTGCTTGTTGTATTTTAATAAAGAGAATGAGAAGTAATATATAATGTCATTATACCCTCACTAAAGTGTAACTGGGGGCCTTTTGCACAATATTGAACATACTAATTTTAATGTACATCTTTGTGTGTTCAGGAAAGCTGTGGTGTATCAGTTTGTAATGGAAAGATCTACATCTTGGGTGGACGGGGAGAAAATGGCGAAGCTTCCAACAATGTCGTGTGCTACGATCCGTCGTCTGGCATCATCACATCTACAGCTGCCATGCCTCGACCCGTCTCCTACCACGGCTGTGTCACCGTACACCGCTTTAGTGAGAAACAACACAAACCCTAAAACATACATGCAAATGCCCCAACACGGACCCGTCTGATTTCATCATCATGCTAAAGCCGTTTAGATTGTTATCTGAGGCGACAGTTACCTGTTCCTCTGGAATGTGGAAGTGTGGAAACATTAACTTCCACATAACTGAAAGCATTTGGAGAATTTATGAAATGTGACTGAGTAATCGTAAGTCTCACTGAAAATAAACTCACTTCCTATACTCTTTCTTTCTGTTTTGGGAGTGCGAATGTTTTTTTTTTCTTTCATTTGAACTTTTTTTATTCATTCATTCATTTCCTTTTCGGCTTAGTCGCTTTATTAATCAGGGGTCGCCACAGCGGAATGAACCGCCAACTTATCCAGCATATGTTTTACACAGCGGATGCTCTTTTTGCTGCAACCTCTCACTGGGAGACATTCTTAAACCCTCATTCACACACACACTATGGACAATTTAGGTTACCCAATTCACCTATACGGCATCTCTTTTTACTTATGGGGGAAACCAGAGCACCCGGTGGAAATCCATGTGAACACAGGGAGAACATGCAGCCTTTTTATCAATTACTTTTACTATTGTTTTGTGCTGTTTTTGTTGAATTACTCCTAAATAATTTTGACCGATTGATTTCAAGGCATGGAGAATTTATCAAATATTTTTTAGCCGGATTTACTAAAAGCTTGCATCAACATTCGTCTTTGGAGATTAAAGCTACTGTCAGGATTTTCAACTAAATGGTGAACAAAATAGTCCTGATAATATGCTTATTTAATGCGGCTGCCATTTTAAAAAACAAAAGCGAGGCTGCGGTGGGATGAAACCCAGAATTACAGTATAGGATCAGCACTGTAAACGTTGCATTAACATGTTGTGGACTGTTAACCTTCAGCTGTTGCCATGATGTCAAAGTGCAGATATGGTGTACACATCACTTTAATATTACTCAGTTAAGTTTAATTTTAAACAATTAAAAGCATATTAGAGATCAAGCAAAATCATAATCTCCTTAAGAGTGATAAAGCTTAATGAGTGTCCTCCTAGGCTTCAGTTCAAGGCAGCAGGTAAACATCATGGGGGCTTCCTTGCTTCAGCCTATGTAACTCAGTGAGCGCTAAAACAATGCACCTCTGAAGCACACCCTGTGTTTTCCCTGTACTAAAGTTTTAAAAACGTCCATTTCCTGCTAACATTTAAACACTGTCGAGCACATTCTTAAACACCGCTAATTTGCCATAGTATTCTTAAGTGCTCAACAGAAATGACTGTGATTGGCCGTGAAGGCCATCAGTTCACCGCTCTTCATTAAGTGCAAACACAGACACAGGGACACTGGAGCATTTAAAAGCCGTGATGATAAGCTGAGTCATCAGCGGATTGCTTGTCTGTGTTTGCAATCAGTAAACATCAGTGAAGTGCAGTGATGACCTTCACGACCAATCATTCCTGTTGAGCACTGATGGACACTATGGCAAATCAGCGATGTTTCAGAACCCTTCGTTTGTTAACTTGAGTTTAATAAATGGCATCTAAAACGTGTGTTTGGGAAAGAAAACATTTGCTAACTAGTGACATTTCCCTTAACTTAGCTGAAAATTAGGTTTGATATCCCTTTTTTTTTGCTTTGCATTCAGAATGGACCTTCGGGTCACTCGGAAGGTGATTAAATAATAAATTCACTTTCTCTTCACTGATAATATACACAGCCAGGTACACAACGTTCCTGTGTGACTCCAGGCGATACTTCCGGGGTTTTTTTTCCCACAGCAGCCTTGATTTTGCTCCTAAAGTGGTGGCTGCGTTAAATCAGTCGATACATGGACATTGTTATTTTGTTTGACTGTATGTACAGTATATACATTTTCAGCCTTTCTCTTACATCAACAAAACTCAGGTCAAAGCTTCAGACTGTTCTGACTCTAAATACTAAATCTATTCTAACTGATCAGACTTCCCAAAGAAATCCCATAGACTTTCATTAGGAATCAGAAATCAGAAAGAGCTTGATTGCCAGGTATATTTACACACACGAGGAATTTGTTTCCACAGTACAAAAGAATAACGGTGACAACTTTCAAACATTAAATCTTAAAGAGCATTTAACGAATATCCACCCAGTTCAGACCTGTATAACTATCATTGGCAAAATCTAAGAACGGTACTAAACTAGCGCATGTTAGCTCAAACAATGGTAACCACAAATCAGCCATATCCTTTTGCCACACAAACCGTAGTTTAACCATAGTATTTGTTGTTAAATTGTGTAGGAATGATAATCAATGTTCCAAACCAACCACGTTTACTACAATTGAAAAAACACAGTTAATTATTACAATGCTAAAACTCTAGCAATGTTGAAACATAACAAAATGCTAATTCATGCTAGGAATGTGGTAACCAAAACATGCTAGGAACTTAGTAATTCATACTAGCATTTTGAAACATGCTGGCGACATGCTAATTCATGTTAACAAAACAGTAAAAAGGTAAACATGTTAAAAAGATGCTAATTTGTGGTAAATAGTAAAATACTACAAACATAACAACAAACAAAACAAACTGCTAATTCATGCTAGTAATGTGGTAACCAAGCTAGAAATGATAGTAACATGTTCGCATAGTGTTAAATCATGGTGGTAACATGCTAACAAAATGAAATGTCATTCAAGCTAGTATGTTAAACGTTTTCTGGTCTGGTTTTTGATAGACCTTTACTGGATTATTATTGCTTTCGCTTGTTCGCAGCTCTGTTTATTTCCTGTGTTTTGTTTTTGTTGGATTTTTTTGTTTGTTTTTTTTTTTTTTGTAGATTGAGCTTCATTTTGTACATTGTCAGCAGAAACGAATGCATAAATCTTCTCTTCCATTAATGCTAATTTATCCTGTTTAGTAAATGTGGCTATTAGCTCCAGTTTTCGAGTAATTTGAATGCGCTATTTACTCTATTTACTATATCGTTTGTTTTTGAGTATATTCAAATTTATAGAAAGCACTTAAATCTACATCAGACATGCTGAACGAGGATTTTTGAAAGCTCATAACAGCAGCTAGAATCCTTGCGTCCTCACTGTTGGACCGCTCTGATTTTAGACTCTAAAAAGTCACGTCAGAATCTTTTCAGGTTCTTCATGAACCGCACAGCTGTGAATTTATTTTCCTATTGTGTCTCATATTGTATTTAAGCATCTCATTATCATTAGTCTGACAGCCAGGACGTGCCTTTTTTAAATCAGAGCCCCAATCATGCACTTGTACATGCTAGCGTTCGTAATATATCTCAGTGTAAATACCTTTTACTCTTCTGTTTTTAGTGTTATCTTTGTTATTATTTTTGGATGTTGTGCACAGCGGACGTGACTCGAGACTAAATCTGAGTTGTTTTATTTCAGCTGCCGGAAAGCTTCCTCTGTGTTTGCATGTGTTTTACAAAATAAAACATGAAATTGTTAAGCATTTTGTTTAAGATATCTAAATCATAGTAGCAGTTTTGTTTTCTGTACTTCTTCTGAACGTGTCAGGCCAGATATGTACTGCATCTTTATATCTGCCTGCAAAGACAAAGATATACTGTAAGTGTGTTTGTATGTGTGTATATATGTATTTATATATTTTCTATGTTTTCATGTGCACATGTGATTTGAATTAATACCAACTGTAGCATTTGAAACTATTTGTAGATGTTACTTCGCCAACATATCATGCGCCATCATTTTTTGAAAAATAAATTACACCACCAGCTTTAAATTTTGTTAAACGTGGGGTTTTTATTACCGTTGAATTGAATCTGATTCTAATGGAGCCAGATCAGTCTCAAAAGTAATACATTCATTCATTTTCTTGTCATTTCCTTTATTAATCCAGGGTCGCCACAGCGGAATGAACCGCCAACTTATCCAGCACGTTTTTACGCAGCGAATGCCCTTCCAGCCACAACCCATCTCTGGGAAACATCCACACAAACATTTACACTCACACTCATACACTACGGACAATTTAGCCTACCCAATTCACCTGTACAGCATGTCTTTGGACTGTGGGGGAAACCGGAGCACCCGGAGGAAACCTACGCGAAGGCAAGGAGAACATGCAAACTCCACACAGATGGCCAACTGAGCCGAGGTTTGAACCAGCGACCTTCTTGCTGTGAGGCGACAGCACTACCTACTGCGCCACTGCCTCGCCCCTCAAAAGTAATCCATTTACAAAATACAATTAATCCGTTTACAACACAACGTTTACAAAAGTCAATTTGTCAATTCAAACGCGATTCAAAAATACACAAATCCAATTTGTAAATTCAAAACACCTTTCAGAAATGCCCAAGTCCAATTTGTAAATTCAAAACATGATTCAGAAACGCACAAATCCAATTTGTAAATTCAAAACACGTTTCAAAAAGACGCAAATGCAATTCGTAAATTCAAAACAAGATTTAGAAATACACAAATCCAAATCGTGAATTCAAAACTCGATTTAGAAATACACAAATCCAATTCGTTAATTCAAAACACGATTTAGAAATACGCAAATCCAATTCGTAAATTCAAAACACGATTTAGAAATGCACAAATCCAATTCATTAATTCAAAACACGATTTAGAAATACGCAAATCCAATTCGTAAATTCAAAACACGATTTAGAAATACACAAATCCAATTCGTAAATTCAAAACACGATTTAGAAATACGCAAATCCAATTCGTAAATTCAAAACACGATTTAGAAATACACAAATCCAAATCGTGAATTCAAAACTCGATTTAGAAATACACAAATCCAATTCGTTAATTCAAAACACGATTTAGAAATACGCAAATCCAATTCGTAAATTCAAAACACGATTTAGAAATGCACAAATCCAATTCATTAATTCAAAACACGATTTAGAAATACGCAAATCCAATTCGTAAATTCAAAACACGATTTAGAAATACACAAATCCAATTCGTAAATTCAAAACACGATTTAGAAATACGCAAATCCAATTCGTAAATTCAAAACACGATTTAGAAATGCACAAATCCAATTCATTAATTCAAAACACGATTTAGAAATACGCAAATCCAATTCGTAAATTCAAAACACGATTTAGAAATACGCAAATCCAATTCGTAAATTCAAAACACCATTTAGAAATACGTAAATCCAATTCGTAAATTCAAAACATGATTAAAAAAATGCACAAATGTAATTCATAAATTCCAAATTTGATTAAAAAATAC